ACTTTGGAGACCAGGCTGGCCTCGAACTCACAGAGATCCGCCTGCCTCTGCCTCCCGAGTGCTGGGATTAAAGGCGTGCGCCACCACTGCCCGGCTCTTTTCATTCTTTTAAAAACTTTGCAATATTTTATTTCTTTTTATGTGTATGGATATTTTGCATACCTATGTATGTCTGTGTGCCACATGCATGCCTGGTACCTGAAGAGGCCAGAAAAGAGTGTCAGTCAGATGCTTGGGCGACTGGAACCACAGGCACTTTGCATCCACTGTGTGGGCATTGGGACACAAACCCGGGTCCTCTGGAAGAGCAGCCAGCACTCCGAACCACTGAGCCTTCTCTCCAGCTCCCCTTCATGGGATTGCAATCCAGCAGGCATGTGCTCATCCTTCCAATCACAGCACAGATACTGATTTTGCCACAACTATGAGTCAAGCATTGTGCAGCTTCCTGGGGTATGGCAGACACATTCGAGTTTACTCTCTAGATGAGAGTTTGATTGGGATACACTACCCAAGAAATAAACTGACTAGGGATGAGAAGGATGTTTCCTGGACAACAAATGTATTTGCAAATCTGAAAGATACAATGCAGTACTGCAAACCACCAGAGAGAAGTGTCCCAGAAAGAGAACAGCCATGGCATAGGTGCAGGGACCAGGAGAGCTCAGGCTATCCTAGAAGCAGACAGGAAGCCAATGTGGTTGAAGCAGAGAGAACCAGAAGACTTGGCCGAGGCAGGAGAGAGGCGGTCCCTCCAGGCAATGCCTGAAAGGCCCTCAACAACAGTCACGTGAATCCCACTGATAATCTTAGAAAACTGGAATAAGTAGGCTGCCATGTGATGACTATGGACTATTATGAGAGCAAGGGTGGAGTAGAGGATAACTGGAAGTTAGGACACTGATTCCTAGAAGAGAAGGGGAGGAAAGGCAAGAGGTGAATGAGCATAAAAATCACTGGGATTCCAACAGAAACCTCATGAGAATTGCTTGGCCTCTGTGCTTTGCTTAATCTGGTTCGGATCTGCTCTGTTGATCTGCAGCCCTGCTCCTCATGCACCAGCCTCCTGACTGTTTGATTGCAGGTGTGCACCCTCACACCCTGTTGGACTGGATTCTTCAGCCAAATTTAAAAAGCAAAACCCAAACTAAAGGGCCCATGCTGGAACGAAAATATAGTATTCTCAGTGCTGAGGATGTAACTCAGTAGAGTGTTTGGCTATCTTAGACCAAGACCTGTATCCCAGCATGGTAGTGCATACCTTCAAGGCCAGCACCTGGAAGTGGGAGGGGGTATCACAAGTTCAAGAGTCAGCACTGCTTATGTAGAGAGTTTGAGGCCAGCCTCAGCTACATGAGACCCTGTCCCAAAAGCAAACAAACAAATAAATAAATAGAAGTTGTTTTTTTTTTAAATAATTGTCTTGAAATAGAGCATGTACATTTAGCTATTCTCCTAATTTGAATTCTATTGCTGTGATGAACACCATGACCAAAAGACATTTGGAGCTGAATGGTTAGCCTTAGCAACATTGATAGTTCTAGGCTAGCCTGGGCTACATGAGACTTTGTTCAAAACAATTAACAATATACTGGCTGGTTTTGTGTGTCAACTGGACATAAACTAGAATCATCAGAGAGGAAGGAGCCTCAGATGAGGAAATGCCTCCATGAGATCCAGCTGTAAGGCATTTTCTCAATTAGTGATCAGTGAGGGAATGCCCATCCCATGGTAAGTGGTACCATTCTCTGGGCTGGAGATCCTGGTTTCTATAAGAAAGCAAGCTGAGCAAGCCATGAGGGGCAAGCTAGTAAGCAACACCCCTCCATATCTTCTGCATTGGCTCCTTCCTCCAGGTTCCTGTCCTGTTTGAGTTCCCTGTCCTTCCTTCAGTGCAGAACAGCAATATGGAAATGTAAGCCAAATACACCCTTTCCTCCCCAACTGGCTTTTTGGTCACGGTGTTGTGTCACAGTAGTAGAACCCTAACTAAGACACACAACAACAAACTGCAGACAACCAAAGAAATGCCCTAGAGTTGAAGTTTACACTGGTATCCCCCATTCTCTGTCTTTCCACTTAGCACCCCTGCTGCCCAGGGGTAAGCCATGTAATAGCTTTCTACTTCTAGACTGGTACAGTCCAGTGCTACTACAGTGAGAACTATAGAAGTCATTTTTCATTTGCCTACTACCTATATTTAAAAAAGAAACAGAAGACAGAGCCTGCGCGATGATGATTCAGCAGTTCACAGCATCACTGTACAATTCTGAGACCCAGCGTGTGGATCCCAGCACAGCACCCACCCAAACAAGCCAAGCATCTCTCTCTCTCTCTCTCTCTCTCTCTCTCTCTCTCTCTCTCTCTCTCT